ACTCAGCTGATCGTCGTTCAATCACGGCAAATGGGTATTGCCATAATGCCATTAATAATTGCCGTATTGGAACTGAGTACTGCTGATAGCGCCGGCGGACGCSGCACACGCAACGAGCGAATGCGCGGTCTATACTTTTAGCACAGTACCACCACGGCAAACGTAACCAGGTGTTATTATCGTATATATTCGTCGCCGCCGACTCCATCCTCACCGCCATGGCATACCACGTCTTTAGGTCGTGATTCGTGACGTCATACGCGCCTGTGCGCCACCTCTTTTCTGGTGCCCACCGAGAGTCGAGACCCCGACGACGACCGGACGAAGACGACGACGGCGACTGTTGGTTAGCACGGGAAGCAGTAGGAATAACGGCATACATCCAATACTCAAATAACAATAATAATAACAACAGAGATCAGTCACTCCGTGCAGTGTCTTTGTGCTGCGTCAGGGTTAATAATTGTTTTTCAAATCGCTGCTGTGACATTATATCATAATATAATATTTCGTTTTTGCGTCCATCATCATCAAACACGACCGCCACCATGACAGCACATGCGTCCGGCAAGCTCATCATAGTGTCCAACAGGCTTCCGTTCGTTCTAAAAAAAAATGAACAGACGCAAAAATGGGAAAGAAAAGCCAGGTATGATTGGGTTTAAGTACTGTTTAAAAAAAATATGACTGATGTCCAAAATGCGAATAGTACCGTGTGTACTGTGTTTTATCTTGGCTTTTATTTAGCGACAACAAAAATGATAAGAACCTTGTGTGTGTATATTCACAGAATATACTATAATTCTATACTAAATACTCTATGACGTGTGTGTTTGTGTGTGTGTATGTATGTTATCAATATTGACAACATTTATCATTTCGTTAGCCCGCCGTGTGCTCGCGTCCCGCACTGGTAACTATTTTTAAGATTACTTACGCACTGGACCACATATTTTGTTCCATTGTTTTAAATTTTTCGTTGTATTCCAATAATTGACTATGCTTAAGAGATTTGCAACGAGCTCTCTGTATGCGATACGTTTGCCGATTAACTGGCAACCGACGTCTAACGTTTGTCTTTGTCGATCGTTGGAATTCAAGAAAAATAGATTGGAGATTGACAACGAAGGTGCTCTGAAAAAGACTAGACCAAAAACCGTACCACTGCCGAAAATTACGCTGTTGGGACCGGAGAAGGATATATCTGTAGTCACTATGGATGTAGCATCCAAAATGTGTGAAAGACGAGGCCTGAAATTGGTAAAAATTATTGATATCGATACTAAAACACAGCGGCCTGTATATCAAATGATGACACCCAATCAGTTCCTCAAAGAGGATCAGAAAAGTCATCAAAAAAAGGATGAGAAAAATCATAATCAACTCAAAGGGGAAAAAACAGTACTGATAAATTGCCGTATTGGACAAAGTGATTTAGAATCAAAAGTAAATAACATCCGTAAATGGCTATCTAAAATGTATGAAGTACGGGTGACAGTCACTGGTGATACGGCTAATGAGGTTGCTGATGAAGTCATAAAAATGACTCAAGAGTGTTCAAGAGTTGTTCAAAGACGAGAAAAAGGAGATTCTGTGAAGTTTCAGTTATTACCTCCAAAAAAATCTTGATTCACATTTTAGATATGCCTATTTACAAATAATTATTTTTTTAAGTTTTAGATTATTTAAGTTTAAATTAATTATAGTATTGTTACTATGAATTTATAAATGTTTACTAATAAAAACTATTTTACAAAATTTTATTTTTTATATATTTCTCTTCAACTTCTTGTAACATTTATATCGTATGGTTCCTAATCAAAGGCAAGTATTTTTTGGCTCAATATGTTGGATGGTTTTCAAATATGTAATATAAAAAAAAGAGGAATGACAGTTGCCAAATAAACAAAATGTCTTGGTATAGTTTATTTATATGGAAATAGAGTAGGTTGCTAAATAAACATATTCAATCATTGTTTATCATATTTTGGTTGTACAATTATAAAATTTGTTGGAGAAAACTAATGATCTAATATTATAAAAACTAATATTTCAATTATATCATTATTTATTTTATAATTGATATTGATGTTATAAATTTTTCTTATTTGAAATTTTTGATTGAATTGTACTATTGTACCTCATCAGTTACCTAATGATTAAATATTATAAATACTATACTCCAGGGGTGGTCTTGTGTGGCTCTTGACACAAAGCTTCGAGTAAAATTAATTTGTATAGTATAAAAAGCACTACTCAAAAGTAAAATCCCATTTCTTAATGTGTATCTATCCAAACAATAATGCTCTGTGTAGTATAAAAAATGAATGTTCCTTTATTTGTTATAAAATTAAAAATGTGTTTTCATTTTATAAACATACCTACCTATCTTAACAATGAGGCTCACTTCGAAATAGTTTCATAAATTTGCAGCTCTTAAAATTAAGGTTAGTGACCACTCCTGCTATACTCTGTTCAAATTAAGAAACATAGTCGGCAGCCGTCTTCTGCTCATAGGTATGGGAATATAACACTTTACGCATAAAAAATAATTGACTGAGTGAGGGTGACAAATGAATGTTGCCTGACTACAGCCTGGCAAAAATCGGTTGCTGCCGACTACATTTCTTAACTTGAACAGAGTATAGACATATCATGTTAGTTAAACAAAATTATTAAATTGCTTATACAAACAAGAAATAAAATTTAACATATATACACAATTATTATTTAGTATGTTAATAGTATAATATTTGTAGAATTAATATTAAATTGAATTAGGTACATACAATTTAAATACTAAGCAAGAGTTTCTAAGATTATTTATTTTTTTCATAAATGAAAATAAAATAAAATAGATAATATGTAAAATATGTCATAATTTTTATACCTTAGTTTGTCTATGCAAATGTTAAAACTATTTAATTTCTTAAAAATTATTAAATTAAGCCCTTAAATTTAAAATAATAATATATTATTTGTACATAATATGACATTATAATTAAATGTCAAATAATAGTCAATGTATTATTAATAAAATAATTTATTTTATTAAAATCAATATTTTGCTTATTTTAGTTCTATTGTTGAAATAGTTCTTTTGGTGCCTTACTTAATTTTATGTTTGAGGTAGGGTTAATCTCTAGTTATTTTAAACCTGATGAACATGTTTATTGATTGTATATAAGTAATAACTCAAAAACGTATCTTTGTGGTTTAATAGCTAACAGACAACAGTGCCGGATTAGACAAATTCTGCCTACTGAGTTTTTTATGCTTTATCGGCCCACTTGCAAACTTATTGTCAACAACACCTATAGCCATATATTATGGACTGTGCAAGCCCAACATTTAGATTTCATTTTTTCAACTTAAAACTATTGACACATTTTCAATCAGCCTCATGACTTATAAACGGACCAAAATTGTCGCAGCCCACCGAGTTTTACTCGTTAACCCTCCGGGTTTGAACGAATAATTATAGTTATTATTATCAATTATAAATAATTAGCTATCCATCCTATATTAAATTTGTAATGATTATTGATCATCCTTGTAAATTATTGTAATTTAGAAAAAAGTTAAAAATCTCTCAACGATTTATTTTAATATAGTGAGTTTACTTTTATGAGTTAATGTTATAATATAGTTAGGTTCTACATTTTGTTTCTTTAGCTAACCAATTTTTATGTAAAACTTGAGTACAATTGATTTTATTTTTAGTACCAAAAATTATTACGTTCAATTATGTGCTCATTATAATATTATGTATTTATAAACAATTGTACATTTTTATTAGGTTGATACCAAAATTTTACGAATATGAGAATTATTTTGATGTTGAAATCGAACAGTACAAAGCTTCGTGAGTTTTCATTGAATAAACAAAACTTGTTTGTTTTGATTAGTATACCTAATTGCGTGATTTAATGGTAACACGTTATTACGCATGATGTTTGTCATATGTGCTATCATCAAATTCAAAATGTCTAAAAAACTTTATAATTTTCAGTCCGTAATATCATATTAAATTTATATTTATCAATCGTTAGATCCCCATTTAAACATAAACGCCACCTCATTAATTATTTATCCATGGCACTCTTTGCATGCCTTGACTGAATGCAAGATACTCAATACTCATTATTGACCATTGTTTTTTATAAAAAATATATTTTTTTATCTAAATGATATATTTTATATATTAACTTGAAT